ATTCTCTTCAATACAAGCTTAATACACGTTATGCTCTCAAACGGCTGAATGTTACTCGAATGTGCTGAAAAAGAACTTACATATTACATACGTAAATAATTATTCACCTTCTTATACCATGACTGTGAATATAGCCTTTTAATTCCACAACGAAAATCATTATGTCTATTGTCTACACGTAAATTGAGAAACCACTTAGACTACGAATAATCCAGGAAATTTGATTTTTCATTGTACTTGAAGGACGAATGGTCATTTCAAAGATTAAGTGCTTTATAGTGCCATACAAAAGAATTCTTGTTTGACCGAAAGATTTTCCTTTGAGATTAGGACAATTGCAAAGCTAAGATTATGGCCTCACTTTACGGTCGTTTTAATAAACATTAACTTCACAATGCTCATGAAATATTCTTCTTATACCTTTTAGAAAACTTATGGACTGCGGATACCAAAAATACGGCAGCCACCTAATTAAACGTGAGTGTCACAGAGTTGAACTTATAATTGCGCCTCAGTTAAAACAATAAACGCACAAATGTTCAGACATTTAAGGTGGTATAACTATACGTTTGCACGACATGAACCAAGCACTGGTTGCTAAGTGGTGCTAAGTGAGATGAACCATGCAAAATATAGTGCTTTGACGTAAGACGTACTTGCCAGTCGTGTATTCTGTCGTCAAGAAGCTGATTACACGATAATCATACCGATAACTAAAAACTAGCACGGAACCAGGACAACCACTGGGTAGAGGCAAACAATACCAGCTGGTTTTAACAATATTGCGGCTCAGCTGGCTCCCCAACCTATATAGTATTACTAGTGTTAATGTTTAGATCACATCTTTGTAATTGTCCCAATCTTACTGAGTATATAAGTTAATGTTATAACAATGTTATAAAAATGTTATGAACAATGTGGTGTGGTGTTCTAATGGAGCACTTTACAAGGTTTACATGTGGTACATACTACATACAGGTGCTCACAGTCACATGACACCATGACTGATCATTGGTCACTGAACATTGTTCAGTCTGTTCAGTCTGAACAGGTCATAAGCTAAGTAGCTAACCCTTTTCTTCATTTTGAACGCAGGAACAAAGTATAAACACTTGGTTAAGGTAGTAGGTATTGTCAATCAGCAATGAACAAATAACTATGAAGTTGCCTTAGGTCACGTATATGTCACAAACGTGCAGCCAAATATTGCGCACCCACAATGGGAACATCCCACTCAGACCAAGACGTGTTGAAGCAACAATTCAACTTAAAGCTGGAGACTGATTGTCCTACAAATGAGCAAAAAAACGAAGGTTAAAGGCCGACGGCTCATTGAATTTGGAGACTTTGACGGTTACCGACTTACCGTGTTGCCACCTGATATGTGAACTGAGACACGAGACTCACTTCCAGACGGTTACCCTGACCGACGACCGTGTTGCCACCTGATATGTGAACCTATAATACACGAGACCCACTTCAGGTTTGCAACATCAAATGATTGATTGCTCATAATCACAAACACTAGTCAGAGTGGTCACTGAGCAGGTCATAAGTTAAGAACGGGTGGCGTTCTCTTTGATGTAACCACTTTGTAAGAAACCTAAAATATTTTCATCTACTGGTTACCATTATCGATCGTGGTTCCAGGAGAACGACAGCGCGGCTTATAGTTGACACGAACAATAAACTTGAATAGAAGATTTTTGTGTCGCCGCATAGAGTTTCACAGACCTATAAATAGGAGTATAGCAATTTATGAGACTTTCAAACAGGTAGCCACTGTGAGACTACACGGGACTTAAAAGACACAATAACAATTCACATACTATGGAGACAGCTTAGATATATAATATTATGTTACTATCTCTCACGCTATGGCCGTGTATTCTAATTCAGTATTAGACAACGCCCTGACATCGCTCAACTTGTATAGTTGTAGCCAGCATTCAAATTAGCAAAACCAGTCAACCATGAGACGACTCTTAAAAACCCAAGCCCTTTTGTCATTCATCATTGCTTAGTGAATAAATATAACGTGTTCGTTTTAAGTAACATTGGTAATACTGATAGCGACACGGCCACGGATCTAAAATTTGTAATTCCGATAATTAAAGAAAAAGTGTATAAACTAGAATTGGGACATCACCCGAAAAGAGAGAAATGGATGTGTTTTAAGAGCGAAGCTGAAAGTGGAGACCAAATCTCTCATAAACAATCCCTTTGTTCACCAAATTTATTGAACAATAAATCATCAGACATAGTTAATTAATGATAATCTGCACGAAAAGCACGCGCACGTGTCGTGTCCTCGACTAGTCAATATTCAAGGTAAATTACAATTTGGCTAGCAGAAGTCAATATCCAAGGCAGATTACCACTCTTCATTATAAAACTGCACCAGAGTCAAGTTCCGCCGTATTCCTTTCAAGAAAAGTGGTAAATCCCGTTAGACAAGATAATATTAATTCATAATTATTAGAATTTGCAGATTTTGTTGTCTTCCGCACTGACTCTAGTATGGAAATTTGTACAAATTTCAAGTTGTGAGTTGACCAACGTTATCGCGTAAGACTCTTTCGAAGATTTGTAAATTGTGCTTTTATTTTTGGGTCAACCATCGCAACGTTAATATCATTTTTACCGCGTTTACCTTCACAAATAGTCTAAACTCATGCCCATAGAAACATAGTGTAATTGAACAGATAGTATCAGTGAGTGTCAGGCTTGTACGTACATACCACCAACCACGTACAATACATTCACTATTGAGCCATACGTTATCTGATATTTCATTGTCTACTTCAGATTGTAAACATATCGAAACTGAAGGTTTGATTAAGACGGCTGACGGCGGTGTATAAAACATGGTGTAATTGATGGAGAGGAGGTCCTCACACCGGTTTATTAAAAGCATAATTCCTCCCTGGTTAAGAACCTTACCTAATAACGCCCCTCAGCCTTCACCTTACCCCCTTACCTAATAACGCCCCTCAGCCTTCACCTTACCCCCTTACCTAATAACGCCCCTCAGCCTTCACCTTACCCCCTTACCTAATATGGTGATATCGTTAACATGATCCTCATTTCCCCCCATTAGAGGTAACGCCTCATCTCCGTACAAAGACTCCTCGTCCTCATCTGCTTCTCGTCCAGTATGTGTTTCAAAACTCTGCGAAACCCTGTCTCTGATGTTCTGGAACGACATCATGTCCAAGCCGGATTTGTCCGGCCGTGGACTGGTGCTCAAGCTTCTCTTTTTAAAGCCACTTCTTGATTGTATCAACAGTTGATTCGTGTTTGGCTTGATAGGATATATGAATCCTGCCATGAACTCTGCTGTCATCTTTACGCAACTTTGAGACTTTGACGAGAATCCCCGTTTTGCGCTTCATAAAATAATTTAAAGATTCAACAAAAAGGACAAATAGCAGTTAATAAGCGTAAAGAAACAACCAAGTTTAAGAATGACTAGAACCAAGAACGGTGTGTAGAGGAAATGTCATTCGTCCTAACTTCGACAATGGGGATTACCCCTCAACACAACATAGCTCGTGTGTTTAAAAAAGAAGTTAAGGCTTATAATGGATGCCCGATGCTCGCTTTATACGAGTCTATTTTGCACACATTAAGCCTCGATTTAGATTATTTTTCGAAAAAATGTTTACAAACCCGCCATTTCCGGCCATGTTTCCAGTATCACAGTGAAGACACGAGCGGGTGGGCATTTACTACTGAATCTAACCGACCATCTTGGGACGAGCCAATAATTTACCTACTTTGAAGTTTTGTCAACTTTATTGAATGTGATATGCAATTATGCAATAGACGAGGATTTATATTGATGGCAAATATTTATTTCAAAATTAGTGCTCACCTCGGGAAGCATTTTACTGAATATTCGGATTAATAAGGTGGTGTTTTTATGAGTTCAATAGCGAATAATAATGTTAATTTCAGTAGTAAAACCCTAGCTGTTGTTCACTGGAACACAATATTCGGTTTACAAAAATTTCATTGACTATTTACATATATTACCCAAGAAACCGAATGCTAAAGAAAGTGCCAAAAATCAAGCGTTGTCCGTCACGTAAATTCTAGATAGTCGGCGGCGTGCCAGAATGACCCGGCGGCGAACGGTTTGTACTCAACTTGTATTCTAGCAAAAGCACCACGTCAAAATTCAATACTCATTTTCAAAATGAATTGTTTCTATCGATTGAACAGATATTTGTTTTCAGTTTTGCGCCGATCATTGTATAATAATTAAAGGTTTATGACGTCGATGCCCATTTCTGCCTTTGGATAAAACTCTTGCTCAATTGTTCTTACTCGGACAATCCATACAATTTTGATTTACCCGAAGACATTACTAATAATAGTAAACTCCAGGCAGCTATCATGTGATGAGTTTTACTAATAATTCATATCACGTGATCAGTTTAAATGATTATTATTTTGATGGTTGTAAACAAAAGGAGCATTGATGGTTACAATCTGTGCCTGTCTCCGTGTGCGTATCGATTAAAATCACTAATTAATATATAAAAGATATCTACCAAACTGTGTATGATCATGTTTTAAAGAATCTACGCAACAACAACAACAAAAATCAACAAAATGATAGAACTCACGGCTCAAATGTAAGGATCATATTAACTTTTGGAATTATGAACCCAGTATTATTGAATTTATGTCGTATGACTAGGGTGTATTTCAGAGAGTAAGCTACTAGTTTTACTTAGTCAATTTACAGTGCTCAGTACAATCTGATTAAGTCCTGTAGTGTTATTGAGTCTTATTTGATGAGTCTTTCAAAAAAAATGTTGTTTTTTTTTCTAAGCACATTTCTACGATCAGTACAATGTTTATATATATCCCTGATAGGTCTCAGTAATTATCAGTATCAATATCAGGGCCGTAGATTAAAATGTGGTTAGGGCTAATAAATCACCCTAAATTCTCCTACCTGCTGATATCGTAAAACTGAATCCTCATACCTTTTCCAAAGATTAGTCTGCTGATATCGTACACCCCAGCAATCCCACCAAGAGGGAACTTTATATTCGGCATGGAGCGGTCTGGACGGACCCCTGCAGATCTCCGCCTCGACCTCTGACCTTGAGACATCCTGTTTCTTATACTCTTCCTGAACGACCTCATCATTCCACTGGTAGTGCTGGCTGATCCAGACTGGAGATGTGGACTAGAGTTACTTCTGGATTCTCTTCTGCTCGAGGTGGACGCCTCACCTTCGAATGCTAAAGCTTTGAAACGAATGCTAGTCGCTTTGGACTTCTTTTCTTGTGCTGAAGCGCGACGTTGGATCATGAGTTGAGCATGGTTTACCTCTACAGGACCCACAATAAGTCCGGACATAAACTCGGCCGTCATCTCTGCGTTGAAGTGTCACTCTATCTTTAAGCTTCTGTAGAAATAGGTCGGGACCAGGAAACGAGCGATACTAAGTACAAACGATGAAATAAAAAGAAGCAAATTTATTAATGGTGTGCGGGTTTGTCTCTGACATTAAACCCGGCCTGTTGATAATTAAGTGTACAATTTGATTGGATCATTTATTGACACTTTCAATGAAAGTAACCAATATTATAGATTTGAGTCGTTATCTCGGGTTTCTGTTAAATTTAATAGATCAAATTACTCATTAGATATTGTCGCTGACTAAGATGTACCAATACAATAATTGGAGCTATACTGATAAATCATTCACCTTTGTTTCCTTTTGGATAATCCTCTATAAAAGTAATTGGGTCCGGTTAATTATTGTTCATCATGACGTCAAACAGGACGGAAATAGACGGAAGTAAACCAGAAATAACGCCAGAACTTAATCCAATTTAATTTCGACACGTGCAGACAGCATGGACATTATTAGTTGATGTTATAAGCTGATTGGTTATTCAGCATCAACTCGAACCATTCATCCTCTTTAAATGGGAACTGAAATGGAGCGCATATTATGCTGTTCTCATCATACAGTTTATAAGGTTTAGGCCAGGAATATGATTGGAATTTTGCCATCGCTTGGTTAATGGTTTAAGATCCAGAGTTTGAGTTGTTGACGATCTGTTCAACTTTACAGACTCTATTGATCCTAGGCTTAGTTGTGGAATACGGGTAAAACCCCCAGTGGTTCCGTACAATTTTTGCGATGCGACTCTGTTTCAGATGAATCCATTATCCAGGGGATGTAGTATCTCCTACCACTTAGCAAACAGTAGTTCACAATGGAAGATAACTTAGTTCCGCTATTTATTTGAGAACCTGGTATCGCGGCGCCATGTGTATAACATACAATATCTCCCTTAACTAAGTGTACCTTTCCTAATACTGGCGCATTTAGCATGATAAAGTGATAAGTTCCACGCGGTGTACTGCACGGGAAGCGGTGGACTGGTCAGATTACAAAATATTATTCAGATCAGTCAATTTCCCATTACTCTCGAGTAGCTATTTACTAGTCAGTATCATAATTGTCAGTCCTAATTGAGATATCATTATAGTTGGCTTCTTGTCAGCCTACTCCGACTGAAGAACTGGAGGGATTCCAAGGAGATTCACATCGTATGATTGGGCTGCTTGCTTCATTACTGAGATCGATGATCATGGTTTTCAATACTAAATGTCGTCGTTTGTTAAAGATGATCATAATGGTGTATAAAGTTAATCACAATGCAATGTTGATGCACAAAATAATGTCGGTCTGCGGCATTGCGGCAGTTCAAATTTCATGATCGGCCAATACCTGGATCATTGAAGCAACATCTCTAACTCTACTGATTTGAATTGAGCTTTACATATAACTACATAAATCATGAAATGGCTTGGACTAAATATCACAATAGCATGTGATATATATTTCATGAAAACAATAGTGAAAAAGAGAGAGTGGCCTGCCACACCCACTGTAATTGATGACATTTTACGAAACTTTCTGGAAAAATAAGTTTGACCCATATCTACAATCTCTAAAATTTGTGTGCAATTCTGACACGAATAACGTGAGTTAATATTAATGGGTTGATTGTGCCCTTGTGGGCAGTTACCTCTGGGCAACCCTGTACAAAGCTTTAAAAATAAGACATGCATTAAAAACTCACGGAGTTTCTCGAGGTTGTTGCCATCATCACTGATGGAAGGCAGCCTGCTTCCTCTCCTACTGTTCTTGTTGGAGAACGCAGCCAACTGGGTGGCGTTGGCTGCGCTGCTTCGCCGTCTGTAGAAGAGAGCCATTGACATGGCCGCCAGCTTTACAGATGCTAGATGGGGGAGACTCCTTTATCAACTTTTCCTTCTTTTTTTCTCCTGGTTCTTAACCTTGTGTTGTGTAAAGAAGTTTCAGATCGTAACAAAAAAATTCAGCTTCTTTAGTAGCTGAGAAAATATGAGAAAATATAAGAAGCAAAGGTTCAAGAGGAATGGAAATTGAAAATGGCGGAGCTCAACTCAACCAATCGTATCTGATCAAATCTGATATTATATTGTTGTAATAAAATTTAAAAAAGTAAAGAATCAGGGCCCACAAAAACATATGCTTCCTCAGTAACTGAGAAGTTTCACACTTCTCAAGATACTGATAACAAGCAAGACTAATGATACTTGCAGAGCTGAACAATAATTAATCATTCGTTCTAACACTCTAAGTCTCTAACAGAGCTTAAGGTCGACAAAATAGGCTTCTTTTGTTTCTAAGACAACGTAACAAGCAAATCAAACGGTCAGGAGAATAGTCAGAGCCTAACTTCAACAAGAATTAATCGATCGTATCCTAATTCTCATCTTTTGTTGCTGTAAAGCTAGAGTCTCTATTAGCCAGAATATTGATTATTTAAGCATACACATTATGTAGTCAGCCTATGTTCAATGGTGGTTAACAGTAACTATTGCCTCTATTAATAAGGTTCAGTAACTAACTTCGAAAATGTTTTCGAAGTTTGTTACTGAACCTTATTAATAGAGGCAATAGTTAACGACCTGGTTATATATAATGCAACCATTACTTTTTCAATTTACCAACACAATATGAATAATGAACTTTAATAAGGAAAACTGTAAAGATATAGTAAAAATAAATTAATAAAATCGAAGGGAATAATAAATAAAACTACAGTTGAAGTGGTACGGGTCTCTTTCTAGTGAGACACTGAATCTTGAGTTACTTCGGAACAGACTCTAATAACGACAGTGGTAATCGGTGAAACATTCTGTATACGCGAGGCTACAATAAATCTGAATAGTGAATTAATTAACATACCTTACTCGGGAATATTATAGCGGGTTAATTTATGACTGGGAAAATTAATAACCGGGAAAAATATGGCGGACTTTCCCAAAACCCGCCAAATTATCCCGGTCATGTATTTACCGGTGGCCGACCTTTCAAGTTTTTTTTTCAGAGGTCAACAAATTTTCAACCGAAATTTCTGTTTTTGTTACTTGTTAAAGAAGTTATTTCAATTAACAGTTACTGATATTACTCAGAAATAGAAAAAAAGACACGTCTAGTATTTAAAGGAAAATAAATCTATAGCAATAATAAGTCAAATCTTCATTAAAGCGTATTCTCATTCTCATTATCGCTAATGTCCCCTCCATTATCATTATTAATATCCCCCTGCTGCTGACCGTCAAATTCGAAGTTGTATTGTTGTCTTAACAAGACTTTCATTTTGTCCGCTAATGGGGCTACTACTCTGAAGGTCAGCCGAAGCTTAATTTCCTGCCCACCGCTTGGTATTGGGGAACGTCTTGGCTTTGCATCTTCAACTGCTCCAGTAATCAATCCACCGTGGACCATGAAATAGTGGCACAGTTTACTCACTTCATGGGCAAGAAAAGTGAGAATCACGGTCCACCCTGAAATCTGATTTCTATAACCAAATTGTGATTTTTATAACGAAATTATGGTAGCAACCGCCAATAAAGTTACAGCCCTCCATCCACTGCTTCAAAAGTCTTCTCTAGCACATATGAGACTTCAGGTAAAATATGATGATCACCACCCCCTTGGAACCCCATAATCTGAGTCGGCGGGTTTTTTATGACTGGTAAAATTTTTGACCGGGAAAAATATGGCGGAATCTTCCAAAACCCACCACTTTATCCCGGTTATAATAATTCCGAGTAAGGTACATAATATGTGAATTAATTAGTATACATAAAGAATGGATGGATTGTCGCTAATTATGTGGTAATCGAGTAAATCAAATATTCCTGCTTTTCTTATGACAATTTTTGATATTTTTGATAAGATCGCAGTTATAAAAGTTTGTTTAGAAGTTCCAAACGAAACGCCCAGAACTGAACGGAAGCTAATTCGATCGAATAAAATGCAATATCTGCCAGCCAGCTATCGAATAGCAAGCAAAGTGATATGTGAATATCTCTCAAAATCCGCTTTAGTTAAGCCCGTGTTTTGTTTGTCACATTGTAACAGAGAGACACTGCTTTACCGAGAAGCGCCGCGCATGCACGCTTGTGGTACCGCTATGTGGTATTGTATGCATGACAGAGCTACTAGTGCGATCTGTGGAGTGTGAAGGATTGGTACCGCCTGTAGATTTGGATGCTAGTGGGGTGGTTACTGGTTAACAGACAACCGTATGTTTTGACACGCGACACTGCAGTCCTGAGTTTTGATTGGTCAACGTGGGAAACTGATTGGCCAGTTTGCTTCGTGAGTTCCGCAAAAGAGTGTGATTTATCTTTGTCATAGACGAACGTTGAAATACAATGGTTAAAAATAAATCTATACGATTTAACTAGCAATAACGTGAAAAGTGCCTTAAAATACTAAACTAAATTGAAAATGTAACTATATATTATATTGTTATATTTGGCAGTTATAATTGATATTGTGAAAGAGTTATCAAGAAGAAACCAAAGAAAATTTCCAATTGTTCGTCAGTTGGAATTCTAAACCGAGTTTTGAATGTAAACTCCGGATTGGAATATTATTTATGAGTCGCATAGTTGAAATGTATTCTTGAGTAAATTTCTATTGATCCCGTTTGGTGCGACAAGGAAAAGGCTCTTATCAGGAAAGGAATTATTCAACGTTACAATTTGACAACATCGTATTCATGATCTAAAAATTATATATAAAAATTATAAAAATTTAAAAAAATCCACACAACTGTAACAGTAGAAGCTATCAAGTAACTAATACTAATAGTGAAAATTCTTACCTCATCATGGCTTACTTACGAGCACATACCTCAACAGAAGACACAAAGATAATAAAATAAAAGAAATCAGTCCTTTGAGTATTGAGTAAAAGAAATAAATACTTTATAAAGATTATGAATTATAAAACTACGGCTACCCAGTCCAAAGGCAGCTCAGGTCGTCTGTTTAGATTACCCAAGACTTCAATATGATATCCCCTCACTCGATATGATTGTCTGAGTTTGTAAGCATGACTATAATAGAAAGTACGTGTCTAAGCCACACTGACATTTATCTTGAAACCAATTACTCAATTAG